AGAACCCCAGATTGGACCTTGAGTTGAGAACTAGGCTCGTTAAGTGTTATGTTTGGTCAATCCTATTATACGGAGCAGAAACATGGACACTGAAAGTTCAAGAGGTGAATCGCCTCGAATCGTTCGAAACATGGATATATCGAAGAATGCTTAAAGTTCCATGGACAGCCCATATCACAAATACCGAAGTCTACAACAGAACAGGCAGAGAAAGAGAATTGCTCAATATAATAAGAATAAGAAAAACATCATACTTAGGGCATATATTGAGAAATGAAAAATACCACGTCTTACAATTAATAGTTAAGGGCAAAATTGAAGGAAAAAGATGTTCGGCAGGAAGAAACTATCTTGGTTGAGAAACATCAGAAACTCGACTCACCTAACTTTTGAAGAACTCATAAGGAAAGCCGAGAATCGTGAAGATTTTGCCAATGTGATCGTCAACCTCCATGAGAGAGACGCACTTAAAAAAGAAGAAGAATTAGCTACCTTCCGTTCCCTTCCGTTTACATAAAATATTATATCATCTATACGAATAGGACAATGCACACTATCCGTTCCGTTTCCCTTCCGTTCCATATTCTTTCTTCCTATACATTTTCATATCGGAAACAGCGTTGTCAAGTTCTTACATTTGTACCAGCTCTGTTAACGTTTTGCTAATATTTATTTGTTCTTTCACCTTTTAAATCTATTACCTTTTACAAAAGATATTTTTTTTTAAAATAAAACTCTCGTAATGATATAAATTGTACAATAAAACGTCATTTTCACAACTGATACAGAACGGCACCTTACGTATAGCGTCAATACGATAAAAAATACGGAACGGATATGGAATGGATACGGAATGGAAACGGAAGGTATATTCGTAGTGAGAATCAACCTTAAGAGTGATTATGGTATGTACGGCCCGTCCTGTTGTATGGTGCGGAAATATGTTTTTTTTTTAGAACCTCTGTTAGTGCGAAGTGTATACAAGATAGCTTAACAGCCGTAAAAAACTCATCGCTACTTTATTAGAATATTTTGAACGGGAAAGCGGTAGTAATGGCCTCTATGCCCCTTAAGTGCTGTTAAGAAAGGTGAGTTTTGTTGATGTAAATAATAACTGTTTATATATTTATAGTTCATTTATTTTTGATTCCTAAAATATTTTGATTAAAAGAAAATATGTAAAAGTGGGCAACGCTGTGCCGGTCAAGCTTAATCACGTGACTAAAAGTTTATTTGATATGAAATCCCCAAAAATGAACTATCCCCTATATAGCCTTTGGCGGTATGTTTTCTTTCCCTCCTTTAACAAACCCATTATTGGTGTTATCTTCCTCTAACATCATTAGATTATATTAGATTATATGGATTCGGTTTGTTCATTTTGTCGCTAACTCTATTTTCTTCTAATAAACAAACTAATTTATTTTGTGTAGTGTAGATGTAATATGTGGGATGTTTCAGGAAAATTAAGTAACTTAGACGGTTCAGTTATTACATTTTATTAGGGGAAAAAAACTTCATCGACCAGCCTATCATCAAATCTTTCCACTCTTCTCGGTCCTGTACCACTTGGATCCAGTTTCCCCTAAATCTTCTTCTTAAGTCATCTGACCATCTTGTCGGAGGTCTGCCTCTGCTTCTGAGAACATCCTGTGTTGGCCGCCATTCTAGTTTTAGCTTGGTCCATCTATCGTCCGTTCTTCTGACAATATACCCAGCCCATCAGTTCCATTTGAGTTTTTAAGTTGATATATGATGTATATATTGATATAGGATGTATATTTTTTCACTCAGTAGTTTTATACAGGTACGAACGAAAAGTTATTATTCTTCAATACAGTTGAAACACATTTAGTTGGTGGCCCCCAAAAATAGCAGTGATATTGATATCAAAATCAAATTTCTCATGTCAAAAAACTCCCAGACACCAATTATCATCCAAATATTGACGTTACTTCAGAAATTATTTGGGAAAAACTCGAAATAAAAATAAAACTTCTACACCCTGTATCTCCGAAATTAAGTAATTTAGGGCATACATTTATACGAACTTTTTACTTATTTTAACTGCAGAATATGCTGCCGAAGTTTCCGAAATACAGTTCGGACCACCCTGTAGATTACTGCTCTTAATTTAATAAGATACGATATACACTTCCTTGATATAATTACTAAAATTCATAAAGTATTAATTACGTTATTGTAAATGTTATTTACAAGATTAGTTAGGAATATTAAGCCAATGTAAACTAATATGCTGAATCTGTATATAAAAATTTATTGTTCATATAACAAACTAAAAAAAAACTTTGAAGTATTCTATAAAACGTCCTATAATAATTGGCTAGACGCAAACAGAAAAAGCAAAACATACTTTTTTAGAATTTTTAAAAGTTTTTTAAGAGTTTGTATATTTTTATAAAATATATAAACGTTTTTGTCCGAGACAAAAACATTTTTGACTAGAACACTTTCCGTTTTCTGTGTGCGTTCAGTCTTAGTCTTGATAATTATCTGACAATATTTTATATTAAATAACAAATAAGTAACATCATACTTCAGAGACAATAAATCACAAATTGTTTAATCGGCTGCATCGTACGAATTCAATGGAGATAAGAATCTGGGACGTAGCAGAGTGTGCTTTTCATACCTGGTTAACTTCTTTACGAGATCTTTGTATACGTTTAATATATCGGCGTGTAAAAAATGGTCCTGGATAAGCGGCTTAAACGTTTCGGGTTCGGTATCGCTCCCATCTTAAGCTGGCTTAAGTTGGTCGGTTGATTGAGACGATATACGAGCTCAGACATTTGTTGATATTAGGAGCTCTATGATTTTTGTGCGATATCACGATTATCTAATAAAGTTATCATATCAAGATATAATCTATAATAAAAGCATGTAACTACTTGTGAAATACTTATGCATTTTTTGTATGTATTCATGTATTTTTACATATTTACTTATAGATTGTATACAACGATATGCTCGGTAAATAAATAAGTATGTGCTCAATTTCAATAAATTAGAAATTAAAGAAAAAATAAAAGAAGCAGACCGATTCTTGAACAACATGAATTCACATCAATTTACCAAAATTTTCATAAAATTTATTTTATTACTCTAACAGTAAGTGTTCTGAATATATTATTAAAAAATTGGATATTAAAAGAAAAAGAAGGCATTTAAAATAGAAGAAAATGGATAGCCTGGAAACTAGAAACTAGTTTGGTGTAAGTAGGTACCTATAAGTAGAAGGTAGAAATCTATTTCAATCTATATCATCTATTCTTCTACACTCATGGTAACAAATAATTATACAAATAATGTTAATTTGACATTTTCCTGATACTTTTTATTATTGGACATTTTATTATTTTTATTGTTTATTTGTACCGCCTCCTTATTTAGTTATCTTAATTTCTCTTATTTTAGTTATTTAATTTTTGTTTTCTTTATTTTCACTATTCTAATTTTATTTGCTATATTAATTAAGCACAGTTTTTACTTTTTTTTAATATTATTATTAAATTATATACGTTGGTATCTACATTTATGTATGTTATAGTTATTTTCTGTTATCTATATATTTTTACTGTACTATTGTAATTTTATTTGTTGCTTATTTACTGTTAAACGTAATTTTATAATAGAACATCTTTAATTTTTGTTATTAATTTATACTTTTATTTTTATTATTTTGTATTTTTATTCGTGTTTAAACTTTTTCTTTCCTTTTGTTTTTCTTTTAATTCAATAATGTATATTTTAATTTTCGTTTTTCATGTTTCTGTCAAACTTTTTAAGGTGTCATACAGTAGAGTCTAGATATCTTTTAATCAAAAATATTTTATATTATTTTATTAAATTATTTAAGAAAAATACCTAAGTACACTTTTAAGCATTTAGGTATATTGGTGGCAATTGTTTAAAATTTGATTTAATTAAATTTAAATTTAGAGAAATTATATAACTGATTTGCTTAACTAAATATATCTGGGAAAAATGTAAGAAAACAAAGCAACTTAAAGTTTTTATTTCTTAAAAGAATACTGAAAAACTAAAAATTATACTCATATTTTTATTTTACCATTTTTTGTTGATTATAAATTTTTAGTTTTGTTTTATATTATTTTTGTTCATTTTAGTATTTATTTTTAGATATTCAATATTATTTTTTTCATGATTTATTTTTTTTTGTTTTATATGATTTTAAACATTTTTCATGTAATTTGAAAATTTACTAATTTGGATTCCTAATGCAGAAAAATAAAGATTACCATATTTTTTTATTTTCAAAACTAAAGAAACGAAGCAAACAGAGAGAAACAGTAATTAAAGCATTTTATCATATTGTAGATATTTTAGTATCATATAGGTAAACTAGATATTGGATATTAAAAAATCGATTAGCATAATACTTGAAGATATGAAACCTCAATAGATCTATTCCAAGGCATTTGAGTATTCTACCAGTATATTCAACCTCTTTAAAAGTAAATGGAAATTATTATTTATAGATCGTTACGTAAACGATATCTCTTTTTCTATCTTATTAGAAAATAATTAAATTAATAATTCATCCGGTACGCCTGAATTAATATCACGAACCGAGTCCAACTTAACCATTAAAACAAGCTCCGCTCAATGCCGCATCTCGCATTCCGTCCCCTAATTACCCAATTAGTCAGGACCGTTCCTCCGCTTCTCCACGTCTTAACGCTAAAACGAAACAGGAAAAAAACAACAGGAGAAACATCACACCGAAATATCAACAAGTCGCCACGCAGAACGTGTTTTCGTCGCACACCCCCCGCAGCCATTGGCCCAGCTTGAACCAACCGAAACGTCCAATCGGCTGTCTCCCCCCGTGAGCGCCAATGCCAGGGGTCCTGCGTGCACCCAATCGCACAGCGGCCCCGCCCAAGCTCACCGTGATGATCGCAGCACGATTCTCGGCTCCCAACAAGCACTCAGTCATGCTGCGTACACAGCACGAAAGCAGTTGTTGTCCGATGGGCTACAGTTAGTTATTTTGATTTTCAGTAGCACTTTTCCGGGTTGATACAAGTAGATGACGTATATTTTTGAGATTTTTAGTGATGATATGAGTGGACTTTGAGATAAAGTGCGTGAATTCGGGAGTGCTAGACAATGATTAACGCGTTTATGGACTCTGGACACCATCATCTTAGTGCGTATGGGTTGAAAATGTCGCCTGGACATAATGGTGGAGGTGCAACGATACCGGCGCCTCACCAGAATCCGGCGGCGGCGATGACGGCTCCGGATGTGGGTCCCGGAGCGCAAAACCACCACTTCCAAGCGAATTATGGACATATGGGTCATTTAAACCCTCACCCCGGTTACGCGGCTAGAGATTTCCTCCTCCGACGCGATCATCATGACTTTCCCACCGCCCAAACCGCTCCTAGTGACTCTATGCTGTTCCATCATCACTCGGAGATGCCTCCGCATCACAACCTGCACCTAGCTCCTCACCACCAAGTGCTCTACTCTCGGACTGATCACCACGCGGCCTATCACGCCCAGCCTAACCCCCAGTATATTAACCATCACGCTATGGCGATGCCTCACCATCCCGGCAACCTCCACGGAGGTTTTTTCAAGTATATGAGGCCGATCAAGCAAGAGATGCAGTGTTTGTGGATAGATCCTGATCAGCCACCCCCTAAAAAGATTTGCGGGAAGCATTTTACGACCATGGCGGAGATTGTAGGGCATTTGGGGGTGGAGCATGTGGGGGGACCGGAAATAACGAACCACGCGTGCTACTGGCAGAACTGTTCGCGGAACGGGAGGCCGTTCAAGGCGAAATATAAGCTGGTGAACCATATCAGGGTGCACACGGGGGAGAAGCCTTTTCATTGTCCGTTTCCAGGGTGTGGAAAGGTGTTTGCGAGGAGTGAGAACCTCAAGATACATAAAAGGACGCATACAGGTGAGAGCATGTAGCGAAATAGAATTAAAGATAAAATGACAGACATTAAAATTGAGTCTTTCGATTCCTGTGTTGTTCTGCTAAGGATTTTCAGTAAATCTTGAAGTTAACATATTGAAGATAGTAATAAAACCCCTCAATTTCCTTTTATATGTTAGGTATGACATTAACTGAATATTATCATATGATTCATATTTTGTTTATAAGATGATAATGCTAGAAATAATATGTAAATAATTTCATTAAATAATTTAATAATACTTTTTTTTTCAAACGTCACAAATAATTTTTTAAACAATTTCAAACGTTCCAAATAATATAAAAAGATTTAAAAGTAATACCTTATTTGTAATTATATATCGAGAAACTATGGTTACGCTCGTTGAATTTGACACTTCATGTCAGTTTAATAATAAATTTTCGTACTTTTATGCTTAGGCGTAAAAGTGCTTTACTTTTATGCCTAAGCGTTAAAATGACTTTTATATTCTCTCTAAAAAAAATAAATGAATTTACTTACTAGACTACTAGATACTATTATTTACCCTTAACATTTAGATTTATTTTTTATTTTGCCTCCAATGACAAATGTCTTTTTGTGTGACTATGATGATTTGATAATTTGTAACATGAAATTTAACTTCTTCAGCTATATTTAAAATAGAATTACAAAGATAGTACCTATACCCTTCAAATAAAATGTATAAGTTCAACAATAGTTATTATCCATCAACTCTATACAAAAGAATAATTATAATTAATTTAATTTAAGTTTTTCATAATTTATATTTCATAAAATTATAATAACAATACTTTTTTAGTCACATCGACATCACAAATTTCAATACTGTTTTCCTTTTACAAAAAATATGATAAGAATTTAAATTTTCCAATGTATTAAATCAAGGATTGATGAATGGCTAGATACAATAATTGAAATATGAATATATTATGTACCTAATATCTTTTAGAGGTACTACAGTACTACAGAACGCTTATATAGGTAGAGTACCTACATAAAACAGTTAATTTTTCTTATTGTTACGGATTTCCTTCTTGTTGAAAATAGATTATAATACTTAATTAATCTTCAATATACTTCCATATTTCATTAATCCAAAAATACGAAACATGTGCAGATAAATAACAAGCTGTTAATAATGAAGAAAAAAATATTAAATGTTGATATTTAATATTCATTTTTTAACAATTAATTTAAATTAATATTTTGATTTACGTTCAACGGATACCTATAGACTTATGAGAAGGATGTAACATTGACGGCTTGTCATATAAGGAATATTTATATGAGTTTTTATTCTTTTTCGTTAAGGTTATTTGATCTTGGAATATTTTTGCGTTTACAGGAAATCAGGCTATTTATGGAACTCTAATATAGCTAATTTTGTTTATTTACTGGAACTAAAAAAGAACAATTAACACAAATTATAGTATACAAATATCGACAACTCCTACATAAATACGGTGCAAAGTTAAGTTTTCTTAGTGGTATTGTTTTATCTTTATTATCTTTCTGGTATGTAAATTCTCTAAAAGAAATATATATTTTAAAAGAAATATATATTTGTTTATATTTATTATATTGTTGAATATCGTCAGTCCAAATTAGTTACACTTCTGACATGAAAACGATACAAAATTAACTATTTTGAGTGCGGTATTTCTATCCCTGTTATATATTTCGCGTATGTAAATTCAAAAAGAAATATATTTTGTGTGTTGAACATCGACAGTCCAAATGGATCAGAGTTCTGACATAAATTTGATACAAAATTGATATGTTTAAGTTATATTCTTCTATGCTTATAACCTTTCTGGTATGTGAATAGTCTAAAAGATGTATATCTTGTTTATTGAATATTGGAAGTCCAAATTAGTTAGACGTGATAAAAAATTAACTATTTTAAGTGGTGTTCTTATCCTTGTGGTACCTATATAAATTTAAAAATAACTATTTTGTATGTTGAATAGTCGACAGTCCAAGTAAGTTAAATATTTGTTAAACGATGTAAAATTAACTTTTTTGAGCGCTATTCTCTTATTTCTATTATATTTCTGGTATGTAAATGCAAAAAGAAATATATTTTTTGTGTTGAACATTGACAGTCCAAATGAGTGAAACTTCTGACATAAATATATTAGAAAAATGACATTATTAAGTTATCTTCTTTAATCTTTATAATTTTCTTATTTTGTAAATACTCTAAAAGAAATATTTTGCTTGTTGAATATCGACACAGTCCAAATTAGTTAAACGTCCGACATGAAATGATACACTGTATTTCTGTTATCTTTCTGATATGTAAATTCAAAAATAAATATATTTTGAGTTTTGAATTATCGACAGTCCATATTAGTTAAATCTCTGATTAAAAATGATGTAACATTATTTTCTTTCAGTGGTATTCTTTTATCTTTATCATCTTTCTTGTATGGAAATTCTCTAAAAGAAGTACATTTTGTGTGTTGAACATCGACAGTCCAAAATAGTTACCCGTCTGACTTAAGTATGATTCAAAATTAACTATTTTTTGTGGTATTCATTTATCTCTAGTATATTTGTGGTATGTAAATTCAAAAATAAGCATGTTCTGTGTGTTGAATAATCGACAGTCCAAATTAGTTAGATCTCTGCTATGAAAACGACGTAAAATTAACTTTTTTGAGTGGTATTCATTTATCTCTATTATCTTTCTGGTATGTAAATTCAAAAAGAAATATATTTTGTTTGTTGAATATCGACAGTCCAAAATAGAGAGACGTAAAAATGAATCAAAATTAACTATTTTGTGTGGTATTCTTTTATCACTAATATATTTGTGGTATATACATTGAAAAATAAGCATATTTTGTGTGTTGAATAATCGACAGTCCAAATTAGTTAGATCTCTGCTACGAAAACGACGTAAAATTAACTTTTTTGAGTGGTATTCATTTATCTCTATTATCTTTCTGGTATGTAAATTCAAAAAGAAACATATTTTGTTAGTTAAATATCGACAGTCCAAAACAGTTAGACGTCTGACACAAATACGATTCAAAATTAATTATTTTGTGTGATATTCTTTTATCTCTAATATATTTGTGGTATGTAAATTCAAAAATAAGTATTTTTTGTGTGTTGAATAATCGACAGTCCAATTAGTTAGATCTCTGCTATGAAAACGATGTAAAATTAACTTTTTTTGCGTGGTATTCATTTATCTCTATTATCTTTCTAGTATGTAAATTCAAAAAACTATATTTTGTTTGTTAAATATCGACAGCCTAAAATAATTAGACGTCTGACATAAATACGATTCAAAATTAACTATTTTGTGTGATATTTCTTTTATCTATAATATATTTGTGGTATGTAAATCCAAAAATAAGTATATTTTGTGTGTTGAATAAGCGACAGTCCAATTAGTTAGATGTCTGCTATGAAAACGGTGTACAATTAACTTTTTTGCGTGGTATTCATTTATCTCTATTATCTTTCTGGTATGTAAATTCAAAAAGAAATATATTTTATTTGTTAAATATCGACTGTCCAAAACAGTTAGACGTCTGACATAAATACGATTCAAAATTAACTATTTCGTGTGGCATTCTTTTATCTCTAATTTGTGGTATGGTAAATTGTTGAACAATCGACAGTCCAAATTAGTTAGATCTCTGATATGAAAAGTATGTAAAATTAACTTTTTTTAGTGATATTCTTATTATCTTTATCATCTTACCGTTATGTAAATTCAAAAAGAAATATATTTTGTGTATTGAATATTGGAGGGGGGGGGGCTTGAAATGTTTTGAGTGGCCTTCTCTTCCCGGTACGTAATTAAAAAATACATAGGATTTTTGGTGTTGAACATCGACAGTCCAAAATAACTTAGAACCTCTTGACATGAATACGATGCAAAGTCCGCGGGATTCTTTTAATACAAACAAATCGAAATTATCACGCAATCCTTCTCCTAATTGCCGGAGGTAGATATAACTTTCACACACGACAGAAGACCGTAGAGTGTAAATAATTGCGATCGAGTCGTTCCTTGTAATATATAGCGCGATTTAATTTGCTATTTTCGTTTAACTCACGCGAAATTTTTCTAGAACCACTCGATATATTAACGTTGCGCGGCTTATGTGACGTGTGTGCAATATGGCTGCGATTAGTCGCGGTTATCAGAGCTATTAATTTATTTTGGATGAGAAATTTGTGGAGGGAGAATGTTGGGAATGGGAGAAAGGGAAATTCAATCGAAAGTTCAGTGTTTTATCTTTAATTAACTCGTTTATTTACTTATAAAAATATAAAGAAATACTGGAGATCAAAAAAAATATATAAATATCATTAGAGAGACCATATTATGATAGGCTTTTTATATTTCAAAAGAAGATATGAATGTTGAAAATAAGGGGTATATGGTTTTCTCTTCAAAAAACTTTTTAGTATTTCGCCAGTTACTGTAAGAAAATCTACAAAATAAAATAGTTATTATTTTGCAAACACTGATGCGTTAATCTAGGGTTGCCAACTTTCAAAATTAAAATAAGGACGCGGAATTAAAACGGGACAGGCGAAAAAATTTTTAAAAACTCCAAACGTCAAAAATTTACGCAAAAGTTATGTAAACGTTATACAGATAATGGCCTTTTTTGCTTTCTTAGCGCATCTACCAATATTTCTTATACGCAAGTAAATATTTTTTCTGTATGAAGGAGTGGAGCTAGCAAAAGACATACTGTTGCCAGATTAGCAATTTTATTAAGCATTGTTTCTATAAATGATAATTTTTTAGATTTTGAGTTTCGTGTGAAAAAAAGAGGACTTTTTCAATAGAGAGAAAAGAGGACAGTGCGTTCAAAAAAGAGGACTGTTCTCTGAAATAGAGGACGGACGGTTGGCAACCCTATACGTTAATCCAACAGAGACCAGCTTGTCAGCAGTTATTTACTAATAAACAAATTTGTCTAACGGACAAAAATGCTTAACG